GTAGACATACATTTCCAATTTCAAAAGAATCAAGAAACTGTTTAGGTTTTCCATATGGATCTTGAATGCTGAAAAGTGAAACACAGAAAACATGAATGAACGATCTCTTGATATGTGGGCATACTCGGCACCAGTCGGAATGGATAAATCAAAGGAATTTACAAGTAGGAAACAGTGAGTACCGAGTAATCGAGTTTCTGTGTGTAATCCTAAGAGAAAAGATATAACCTTCCTCATTCTATGTTTATACCCCAGTATTCTGTTATTTTCTATACCATATGGTAGGTAGCATTCATAGAGCACTTGATGTCTTCCATGTCACCAGTGACTTTAGAAACTCCATGACCTGGGTGAATAATAGGGAATGGCATAATTAATTTCAAAGGTCAACTGCAGCAAACCAAGGAAGAAGAAAAAAAAATGGAAGCAGGAGACAGTGCTGAAGGCAACTCAGAAACATGATTATCTCATTTAACGAAGAGAATATCCTGTACCTCCTGTGGATCCTTGAGAGAAAAGAATGCCTTGCTTTCCTTGGGAAGAGATGAGACTAAAATACCATAACCGCGATTTCCCTCTTGCAGAACCTGTAAAAAAACCATCAGGTTGATCCACTAGGTAACTAAAGACCACCAATTAAGAATTCTAACATTAGTGAGTTAGAAATTACCTTAAACGCATCTTCATCTGTTTGGTCATCCCCAACGTAAATTGGAAGTACATCATCACAATCACTAAGACCTTAAAGAACATTTTTTTTTTTTATCAATTTATAAGATCTACCAAGAAAATTAAAATTAAGACACGAGCATAGAATAATGTCGTGAAGACATGCTCACCTATTGATTCGAGTAGAAATGTGAGAGCTTTCCCCTTGTCCCAATTGATTATAGGCCGAATCTCTAAGACCTAATCACAATCAATAAGTCATCAGCAACAAGATATATGATATAGTCTAGCAGATATTAATGTCAAATGTTCAAGCTGGTATGAAAGATCACCTTCCGTCCGTGAGTCATTCTTAGACGTGGGTAGTTCTTAATGACATCGAGGACACATTGTCCAACTGTTTCCCAACTCTGAAAAATAATTAGAAAAAGTGCACAGAAGTTCATAGTGTCAGGAATAAAACAAAGAGTAAGCAGTACAGGAGTAACTGAAAAATAAAGAATTCAAGTGCTCCAGAAACCCGACCTCCACATCCACATTACGAAAATGGACAGAGACACAGAATTTATTGTTTTCAACTTTTGCTCCTTTAATCTCCTTGGTACACTCAACAAGGGAATTAAAAACCT